GCAAGATCAACATAAATGAGATCCCACCGGGCGTGCCAAAACTATGTTCGTGGCTAGAATTTCCGTCGGGGATGTCTCTTAGCCGACGAGCACAGCTCCCCGAGAGATTGGCGCCGGTTAATGCTTTCTGTCGGGCTTCTACTTTACTGGCGGGCTTGTCAGGCAAAGCTTGTCGGGCAAGGCTTGTCGGGCAAAGCTGAAAGAGAATGACAGAGTTAACTTTGAAAGGTGCCTTTGTGGGGCCTTAGGTGTAGGCCTTGAGGCTCACAATCAAAATTAACTTTTAAGCGCTCAAGCGTGCCACTGCCATCTTTAGCATGGCAGATGTAAAATGGATGTTGAATTTTAGTTGCACATATACCCGAGAGACCATGTTAGTTATGACAGGTGCCTTTGTGGGGCCTTAGGTGTAGGCTTTGAGGCTTCCGATCACAAACTAACCAAGTACTCGAATATACGATGTCTGTTTTATTGTCTGCAGAAGTGTTATAACCATTATACTTCTGATTATCTGAGCCCGCAAAGCAGAATGAACCCAAATAGGTGCCTTTGTAAGGCCTTAGATATAGGCCTTGAGGCTTCCTATCAGAATTCCTTCTATACTCAAACGTTATACTATAATCATAATATAATAGAAATAAAACTAAGAAATAGATCGATTACTTGCCCCCCAAGTAACTTCGGACTTCTTGTTATCAAAGCTTGTCGTGGATGGGTTAAATCCACATAAGGTTCTTTTTTATGCCTTGAGGCCAATGACTTTTAAATGATCAATCTTACATGCCCGAGAGCTTAGAACTTAGATATGGTTTGAACTATGAGGACATATTCAAATCGGATTCAAGAGCTGAGAGAGTCTTTTAATAGTCTTACTAGAAATAACTTGAATACAACTTGAAGTATACAATATATTGCTAGGTTAATGAATGAAAAGACAAAAACAAAGAGGGTCGGGCAAGGTTTAACCTTGTCGGGCAAGGCTGATCATCTTGCAACTTCCTATCTTTGTGGTTTATCAATGGGTTTGAGAGTTTTTACAACGAGGGGTAAGGAGATAAGTTTACAGAAAGAAATTGATATTACAACAAGCTTAGGACAAGGTAGCAGAGCTATTACAAAGGTTTTGGTGAGGGTATATCCCGAAAGGGATGAAGGCTTGGGTTGACTACAGCTTCGTTTGAAGGCAAATCTGGCTTTAAGTAGAGTTTTTGCTTGTATTTGTTTGTTTGATTGAGTGTCCTCATTTCCGATTTCTCTTTCTTCTTTTATAGACACTTCGGTTTGGCTTCCTGTAGCAATAATTTTGCCCGAATGCAGCTTGAAGGATAGTGACTCATCAGCTATTTACTTGTACTGCCACTGTAAAGTACTTTTGGGCTGATTAGCTGGCTGGTCTGTACCACTTGGTCCCTAGGCAGGTGAGCAAGTGGTGCAAATGATCTGCACCTAGTCGGGAAAGCCCTTTTCTGCCTTCTGGGCTTGGGCTAAACTTCAGGCTTCTCTCCTCCTTTTGGGCCAACTCCTTTTTGAGCCCAAAGTTTAACTTTTAACCCAAACACTTAGTGCTTGCACTAAGGAATGATTCGCGATTTCCATATAGTAATAGCAATGCGGCTAAAGTGATGCTAAGCGCACAGACAGAGAAAAAAAAGAGGATTGAAAGTCACACAAAGATAACCATCCAAGGATACAATGCGGACTCCAAAAGGGCAATTGGTAAGATTCGGCTAAAGTTGGTGGTGGTGGTAGCAGCGAGGGTAATAAGAAGAAAAACAGCTGGGCTGGATGGACAATCCAACATACACTGTATGTAGGGCTTATAAAAGAAGATATATTTTTGTGTGTGTGTGTATATATATATATATATTGATATTTGGACGTACTTTCTTTGGGTTTCGGGGCGAATATGTCTCTGATCAGCCAATCTTTAAAAATGTTGACTGAAATTTCCTCAGCATCTGCGCCGAACAATTCATCAGTGTATTTCTACTACCATTCTGTGAAATTGTAAACGGAATCTGCGTTGGAGAAACGTGGCTAAAGTTTGAACCAAGTGCATCTCTAGTTGAAATTTTCACTGACGGCGTCAAATTTGGTGGCTGCCTCGCCTTTGGGTTGTATCGCGTTCGTCCAAGGCGATTGTGGGTTGTGAGATTAATGAAACTGGACGGGCTTGGCGATATCCATGTTGACGTGCGAGGAAATTCAACATATAGACCTCATTGACCGCCTAAGCTCACAGCCGAAAGAAATGTCATGCATGAGGAGAAACGGGCCGAAGTTTGGCGTCTTCCTTTTGGTCTCATTACGGGCACAAAAGATCATTGTAGATTTGTAAGGTCTTTTATGGCAGATTATGATTTCATTTCGAGGCTAAAGAAATGGTAAAATATTACGTATGTCGAATGTCTTTGTAGGGGGCGGGGGTGGGGGAGAGCGCCGCCAACTGGAAGCCCATGGCTTCATTGTCTTGAAAATTAGGACAGCTTGATAGAAGTGGAGTAGAGTAAATTCGGAGCCACATCTGAAAAATCAAGAGCAGTCCATGCTGGTGTGGCTCCATCTATTTGGCGGTTATATCAACGATAGAGATGGGCGAGGATTGATGAACTGAAGGCCAAGTTTTGACTGCTTGCCAACGCTTTAACCACGAGCATGTTCTTTCAGGAATGTTGAACTTAAAGCAAAAAATGAATTTGTTATACCAGTAACTGAGAAAAGCCTCGTGTTCACCTTTTTTTTATAGGCTCGTCTTCTTTGTCGTCGAAGTTGGTAATCAAAGTATTGTTGTTGAGGAATCTCTTGGCCTATTTGGTGATTGCGTCCTTCGACCAATCCTTATTTTCATCCATGTGCTTTAAGCCCTTCAAAGCCCTCTTGTCAAAGACGGCTTTTAGGTCTAGACATATTGGTATAGGTCGAGAGAGAAACATCCATGGGAGGCTGACTAGGGACGTGTTGAGTAATGCAGAAATGTTGAAATGTCGAGGACGATGGGGTTCATGGGGCTGAGCGAGAGAATCATCATGTTGGTGGTTGAGCACCAAAAGTTCAGGGCCACTAACAAAAGCTCTCAATCCATGGTAATTTCGGTAGTGGAGATTTTAATGGCATCATAGACTCCATATCTACAAAGCTATTCTTCTTCCTATTTTTAGAAATTTCACCAAAATTCAAATCATTTCAACAACAATAGGATTTATAACCTTTATCTTAATTCTCTACAACTTGTATTCTTTATCCTCTATCTTACCTATGACTTAAGTGTTTGTGCTTGGAATTTTTTATTGATTTCTCCCTATTAAATTTAGTAGTATGATGACAAGGTTATCATGCAAAGGTTTGAAAATATGAAAACTCGTCAAAGATAATTATGGTTGTTGTGAAGAGATAATATTATCAATGGTTATGTTATTCTGATGTTTTGGTTAGTAGCTTTGTAATTATTATCCACCATTTGTTCACATTTGTGAAAGACACTTCCTCACATGAAATTTTACTTCACCATTGGTTTCACTATTAATTTTTTTTTCCTTATACCAAAATACCCAAGGGCTAACATTCTTTTGTTGCTATGGTGCCTATATTTTTCCAAGTTAAATTTCGAATACGTAGATAAAAAGTAAAACATCTTCTTATTTAGTATTTTATTTAGCTCAGTTGATCGCACGAAACATCATTCTGCATTTGCTCATTTTTCTAATCCAATCTTCAAGACTATTTCTTTGTATTGTCATTGTTTCTAAATACGTGACCAAATAAAATATCTTCTTATTTAGTATTTTGTATAGTACAGTATAATTGATTCGCACGAAAAATCACTATGCATTTGCTCATTTTCTTTGGAAGAAATCTAATCTTTAACTTCCCATTTCTTTGTATTATTTCTTATTTCTAAATACGTGATAGAAAAATCAACAATAAATTAGAAGACAAAAAAAAGTAAATAATTTTACAGAATGATAGAAGAAAAACGTGAAAATCATTTTCCCTTAAAAAAATCTATTGCATTAACCAATTTGGTGAAATTATTAGTTTGAAATATATATATATATATATATATATATTTTTAACAAATTAGTTTGAAATTTTGAATACTTTCAAAATCACGAGGCAAACAAGACCACCTCAATTTTCAGGCTGACATAATTGAAGCTTTCACCACTTGGCATGGCCCAATATGCCTGTTTTCAGAGATAGGAAATACCAAAACAGAATTTAATAGGGTTTCCAAATCAGAAATTTCTTAAAGCCAACGATAAAACAGAACTTCTGTCCGAAAATCATATATATACGTGTCCTTTTGTGGGTATAATTTCAATTATTTAGACACTGTTTATCTATAATTGATGAAAGTAGGAGCCAACTAGTGTCCTTTCTATTGTATTTCGGAATATGGGACATTTCGATTTTTTTTTTGAACAAACGATATTATTTATAATAATCGAATGGTAGAGTAAGCTAAGCTTTATAATGAACTGGCAATAATATGATTCAAATTCTCATTTGGCGAAAGTCAAACTTACTTTCACTTACAAGTGAAGAGCAATATCACTAGACATTTGTACTAAATGGCAATTGTTTTTTTTTTTTGAATAAACGATATTATCTACACTAAGAGAGGGGTGGACTTAGCCTCACAACGGGCTAGCAATAATATGGTCTAAATTCGTTTTTGACGATAATCGAATTTAAGACCTTCTCACGTACAAGTGAATAGGAAATTAGATTGTAGTACTAAATGACAAATGACAATTGTTAGAATTTAGATCTTGTTCAAAAATACAAAAAAAAAAATCAAAATATTTTATAATCCAAAGCACCGTAAGTTTTGTTACCATTGAATAAAAAGTAAAAACAGCATTGAAGGCAAAGAAGTGAATTGCTTGCTCTTCCTGGGCATGCATTTATGAGCCGATCACATGGACGCCATAAATATACAAACCTAAACGAACGAAAGCAGCAAGGAATTAATTCCGAATTCCTCACCCTTTCAAAACATAAAACCCTAATCGCATTTAAAGCAGCATATCAATAAATAAATATAAAAAAGAGGTTCAGAAATCAAAACTGCGTTTTTCAAGGAGAGGAGGAGGTTGGCTGCTGCTAACTGCTAAGCGGCAGGCAATGAGGGGTTGGAAAAATCTTGGAGTTGTTGAGACCATCTACGAGGAAGAAGACTATGAATTCTCTTCGGCTTCTCCTTCTCTCTCCCCTGCCCTCTCTTCTCCTTCAACTCCCCTCCACTCCAGAGTAGAATCATGGTAATTACATATTCTTCCCCTTTTCACCGCTCTATATTCCGGATTCAAACTCTCATCTTCTTCTTTTGAACACTATGTGTTCTATGTTCAAACATATCTCTCTTTGATATAGTTTAGAGTAGTAATATCGTTTGTGACAAATAATTATGTAATACACTGAATTTTTTTTTTTGGATTATGTAATACACTGATAATTTCTTGTTTTTGTTTTGTGTGTAATTTTTAGGTCTCGGGCAACAGGGCAAAAAGCGGAAGTATTAATCCGAGTTCAGGGAAAATGTTTCCATCTGCACAAGGTCTGTGACAATTCCCTCCTTAATTATAATTAAGCTGTTTGTATTTTTATGGGGTTTTTTTTTCCAGTTTTTTGGGAGAGATGTAAAAAGAACGAAGGACAAGAAAGTATTTTCCATTTGAGAGAAAACGATGAAATTATGTTCCAATTTCTGCACATTTTCATCTTGCCAGGTTGAACAATTAGAAGATGAAATTTGGATTTGTGGGAAATCATACCGTTGAAATTGGGGTTGTTTGATTTGGAAAAATTTTAGGGACGAGATGCAAACTTTTTCTTATATTAGACTGACAGAATCCCCACTTACTCCATGTGGTAATCCTATTTTATTTTTTGACGAGGCGATATCGCCGGTAGGTTAAATTAAATTATAAAAAATGATATTCTTATCATATTTCTATATCACTATGATAGAGACAACACCCATTTTTATATCACTATGATAGAGACAAAACCCATATTAGTTGGTGGCATCTACCTTTATTAGAGAGGTGGAAATAAATATGATATGAAAAATCTGGTAAGTGTAACATTACTTTAAATTATTTTGGTTTACGAAATGACAAATTCAAATTTGAATGCAAACGTCTAAACACAGGCATAACTCACACTTGCATCCCTAGTTTTTCTTCCCCAGTGCTATTCAAAAGCAAGAAGTTTGGGATTAAGTGTCATTAGAGATCTATGAAGTTATGAACTTCCATTGGTTTTTTAACCACCAGTTGGCCTCATATATAAACACATATTGTATTCCAAATTATCCAGCAATTGGATTTGTAAAACTAAAAACTATGCATCCATCCCTTGATTAGTCAAAATTTGTCGCTTAATTAGAGAAGGGTATTGTTAGGGAGATTAAATTTGTAAATAAAATTTTGTAAACTAAATGATATGAAAGTTGATGAATGGATTATTATTTAAAGGTTAATGAACGTGCTTCTTCATATTAGTGACACATCATTTTGTTTACAAATTTAGTCTCCCTAACATTACCCATTAGAGAATGCAGAAGCATAAGTTTAATTAGAGTAATGCTAGAGAGACCAAATTTTTTAAATCAAATTTGTAAACTAAATAATGTGGTTGTAGATGATTGAATTATTAATTAAGTTTCGATTAACATGCTTATTTTTTATTTGTAACACATCATTTGGTTTGCAATTTAGTTTAAAAAATTTGATCTCTCTAGCATTAAACATTAAGCACTCTTATATATCTAGATCGGCTAAGTTTTTTCGAAAACATGCATTTGCTTTTAAGTGGCTCGAACTCCCTCGCTTTATTTCGTTGGATTATTAAGCGCATGCCCAACCGTTGAATTCAGTAATATATACCATATATTGATGTATGAACTTTTTATTTCTTTCCATTGAAAAATGCTTAGATTCCCTATAAATGGAAGATGGCTATTCAAATAATGAACCGAATAATGCTATTCATACCATGTTTTTGTACCATATTTTCATACCATCTTAGATGACATTTGATGTGGACAGTCACATTATTTGAATTAATCATATTTTAAAGGGTAAATTACACTTTACCACCTCAAGTTTGAGGTTTATTACAATCTCATACAACATCTTCAAAATATTTCATTTTCATACCTCAAGTACTATTTTATTTCAATATAATACATCCGTTACATTTTCCATCCGTTTATCAGTTAAGAGCTGACGTGATTGTCATATTTGTGCCATGTGACAAAAAAATAATTTTTTATACATTAAAAATATTATAATAATTTATTCTAATAAAAAAATCTATTGCATTAACCAATTTGGTGAAATTATTATAATAATTTACTCTAATAAAAAAACTAGCTAATTAAATAACAATTGTGTTATACGAGAAGTTTTTCTCATTCATTTTCTTGGATTTTGCAAATTTTTCAAATGATAGGACTGTCCACATCAGATGCCACCTAAAGTGATATGAAAATGTAGTATAAAAAATATGATATGAATAACATTCGTCTAATGAATCACAGAAAAGAAAAAACAATCTGTCAATGTTTTTCACGTTTGACTGTTTGAGTACATGCTAAATAAATTAGCCACAAATGTGGTCCATCGTCTTTCTTTTTCATTCTGCTTTTGATGCATGCATGCATACATACATATATATATACATATTATTTGCCAGCTACTGATGATGTAAGTGATTGTATATATACTAATTATATCTCTCATTTTTTGTTAATTTATAGGATCCTCTGACATCAAGAAGCACATATTTAAAACGTCAGCTAACGGAAATAGTCTCAGATTTCACGATGCCTTTAAATATTTCAGCCGAAACATTCACTGTCGTGGCCGAATTCTGCTACGGAGCTCACCTCGTCATAACGCTGTTCAACGTCGCTGCTCTAAGGACAGCAGCTGAATTGCTTGAGATGACGGAGACCGACAACAATGGCGATGACAACTTGCTCCACTTAACAGACACCTACTTCCGCCAAGTAGTTGCCGTTAATGGAGATTACGCATCTGTTGTCTTCCGTTCGTGTCTATCTTTGCTTCCTGAAGCAGAAACAGCAGCGTTCCTTGTTAGCAGGTGCATTGAGGCGTTGGCTCTGTCGAGCGAGGGTGACAGCGGTGCTGATTGGTTGAACGAGGTTATAACGGTGTGCCCAGAGGATTTTCAAATAGTTGCGGAGGCCATTCAACGCTGTTTTGGAAACCACGACGTTGTTTATAAGCTCGTTGATCTTTATCTTATGGTAAGACATCAATCACTTCACGTTTATTTTCTTCTTCTTCTGTTAATGCTATGTTTTTCTTTGTCCTTTCCAAACTGCAAGTGGCAAGTTAGCCACCTAATTAGAACTTAGTGGAACGTGAACATTAGCTAGGTTTAAGTTTGTATGTGTATATATTATGTGTTATGCCATTTTGGTTAAAACTATATAGTGAATTGTATTGTCCGAATCGGAGTTTTTTTAGTTTTGTTAAGTAAACTAAAGAATTCTGTAGTTGATATAGCTTCTCCTGTGTATCCATATCAAAAATGCTACATTTCACAGAGATACAGTGGAAAGATTACAGAGGATGAGAAAACTCAAATATGCAGTTCAATTGACTGCAGCAAGCTCTCACCACAACTCCTCCTTGAGGCAGTCCGAAACCCCATAATGCCCCTCCGGTTCATAGTCCGAGCCATGTTGATTGAGCAGCTCAACACTCGCCGCACCATTTTCTCCGCAGCAGCAGCAGTAACTGATCACACCCAAATCCAACCTCATCACCGCGACCATGATGGTCATCATCACCGCGACAATAGCAAACAAATAGAGCCCATCGCAGTCAACACTCTAGGCTCTCTCCTTCAACGTGACACAGTGCACCGCCAATCTGCGCATCTCAAGGCCACAATGGCGGCCACAAGCTCGCGGATACAAAGTTTGGAGGAAGAACTTAATGGCATGAAGATGTTGCTGCACGAGTGTCATGAGAAACAGGAAAGAAACATATTAATGGACTCGGGGCGTAGGTCTTCGAGCTTCCATTTTAGCACTAGTGAGAACAATAAGATTGTAAAGGGTGACAAAGCATCTGCTTCTTCGGCTAGTTTTCGGATTATCACTAGTAAGGGATCGGTGGAGACAACTGGTGGGACTTCTAATTGGTCTTCTTCTTGCAAGGGGACTCCGAGATCGACCAAGAAAATTAGTGAGAGGTTGATAATTGGATTGAAGAAGGCGTTTAGAGTTTCGGGTTCGGCTAAAAAGCTCGTCAAGGAGAACAATGTCTATGGGGATACTGGACGTGGATTCGAAGACGGCATTGCTAAAGATATTATGGTGATCAAGTAGGGTTTTAGATTTTGATTATATCTCATATTTCATAGCTAGCTGATCATCATGAGACCACTTTTCCATTGCAGATTTTATTGAGGAAAAAGAAGCAGTTTTATGATTCAATATTTCAATATCTTGTTGTAGAGAACTGGTTATGTTATCCAATTAATACCGACACCATTTTTGGTGTTTGTGAAATCCGTGGAAGTCTGGAATGGAGAGAATGTTGCAATTTACAAATGACTTTTCCACTGACTAGGCGATTTTGTGATCAAAATTACGTGGAGGGTGATGATTGGATTTTTTCTTTAATAGTTTAGTAAAAAATCCAACTATCAAGCGTCACATGATGTAATCCACAAAAATGATCTTCCTAGTATTTTCCTTTGTAGAAAGGCACACGTACCGAGTACACCCACCACATCAAAATTATCCTTGGCACACATTGCATGCCATAAAAACACTTGAGAACATTCCACTCATTGCCCAATTGATAAGGCAATTGAGTTTAATCGCCTTGGCAACAGGTGCTCCACCGGTTCAAAATTGGAAGGCAATTGGGCCAAGGGCCCTTTCTCCTGCCCTGCCTATTCACGCATGGGCTTGCGCTTGCTGACATCGGCACATGCTGACATCGGCACAGAGCTTGGGTTCCACCACTTGCAACCCACCAAGAGCAAGATTAAAAGTTCTCAGCAGTTGGATTTCCAATGTTAAAAAAATTGAAAATTTTGGGTTGTGCCGTGTGGTCCAATTTGGCGCATCTGATTTAATTTTTTTTTAGAAATCAACGGTCATGATTAACCCAAAAGAAAAAAAAATTACCAAAAACACAAATTTTTTTTAAAGAACACACTTAAACAATTTAATTATTATTTTTTATTAATTATACTTGTTTGTAATGCTATGTTTGCTTTGCATTTAAAATTAAATTATCACAGTTAAATAGGGAGTTTTATTTCAAAGAACAAATTTACTTGGTACACAATTACAAGGCATACAAATTAAAAAAAAAAAATTGAATAGCAATCGTCATTGCCCTTCCTCTTCTTAAACTGATGGACTTGAACAATGACAATTACTGTTTAGAGTGAATACTAAAGACAATTTCACTGCCCTTACCCTTGCCTTACCTTTACCCTCTTAAAACGAGTGGAGTTACTCTAACATCGCACATAATGCATACCATAAATACTCTTGTCGTAAAAGGCTTATATCATTTATGGCATGCATTTAGGGGTAGGCATAAAAACCGTGGAACTACAAAACCGAATCGAACCACGACAAAATAAACCATAAAAAATCGTGTTAACAAAAAAAAATGTCATCGTAGGTTTAAGAACCGGACCAAATCGTTCATACCGGTTCTGGTTTCGGTATTCATGTTGTATAGGTGTCACTAAATGAGCGGTGAAAACCAAACTGGTTTCACCTAGTGCAACTGCATGGGAGCATTTCTCAATTTGACATTCATATTTCGATTTCATTTTTTTATATAAAGTGATCTTATAGTGTTTAGTTACATCTTTTTTTTTTCCTTTCCCTTTTCCTATGCTTTTTTTAATCTCTTGATAAGTCTCTTTTGGGCTTAAATATTGTATTCATACTAACATTTTTACTGCATAGTAGATGTATTTGCATGTGTGGATGTATATTTGTATTTTGAATGTTATATGTACATTTGAATTGTGTTTCTTTTTTTGTTTGCTTGGTGTCAACAATATTTGCATTTTGATTTAGTATTTGAACATTATATTTTATTTGTAACATTGTTTTTTTTGGTCAAATAATAGACTTTGTTAAATTAGATTTTAGATTAGCCACCAGCATTGTTTGAGCCCACGTCGTCATGCAAGGGCTCAACATATTTCCACCACTATGGTAAAGGGCCACTTGCTGTTATATTTGTAACTTTGTATAACCATTTTTGAAATCATATTTGAATACAAGCATGCAAAAAACAAGAGAAAAAAAAAAGTAAACTTTGAATAACATTTTGATTTGGTATTCAAACGACTTAGTATTCGGAACTATAAACCGGCACAGACCGAACCGAAATCAGTGTGGACCAAACCGTATGCTTTTAGTAATAAATTTAAACAAAACCGCACCGAACCGTTGATATTTCCCGGTTCCAGTTTCATTTCCATTTTGGGGGTGGAACAACACCGAACTGCACCATACCCACCCTTACATGCATTGGCACACCATAAGTAGGATTGTCTTCCCTCCCTTTCCTTCCTCTCTCATTTTCCTCTTTGTATTTTTCTCTATAAAGAAGTCAACATAAGATGTTGTCATGGCTTAATCGTAATCGTTCAAATTGGAGGGGTGGAAAGGAAAGAGAATTTAAAAGGGAGAGAATCATTCTCCGACACACCATAAATGATACAAATTTGCAATCACATCACTAAAATAGGGTGCCATAAACAATCACGACACTAAATAGTGTGTCATAAAATGTAAGATAATACTTAGGTATTCACTAGTGAATACTCTATGTATACACTCTCTGATTTGGCCCAAAAAAAATAAAAGTCACGTGTTCCTTGTTTTTTAAAGCCCAAGAAAAATTAAAAGCATGTCCATTATTTTTTAAAACAACAAAACATGTGTTAAAATATCACAAAATTAAAATGAAAATACTCACTAATAAGTACCCAAATATTATCCTAAAATGTAATATGCTACCTATTTAAGGATGAGGATCATCTCTGGATCCTTTTAATTTGTGAGGACCTTAAGGATCCTCGCATTTTATCTGTTCATCGTATATCGCGTGGCTAGTTTCGTTAGGTAGTATTTGTATTTAATTTTAAATAAAAAATTAATAATAAATTCTAGCTACACGATGTACGATGAATGGATAGGATGTGAGGATCCCTATAATCCTTAAAAAGAGGATCCAAATCGGATCCAAATCCCTAGTTAAGGCATGAAATGCACGCCATATTTTCTCTTCCAACTTCATATTAAAATGTTACATTAAACAATCTTTTCTAAACATAACAATTGCATTAAACTCAAGTACAATGAGAATCATGAAAGAGGACATGAAAACATATATCAACATTAATCAAGAGTGCAAACTTAGCAAGTCTGTGATAATCTCTAGGAAGAACAAAATGAAAACTCAAAAGATCGAAAGCTCAAAAGATCACCGTTGAAACTTTGCACTACCACAACTATTGTCACCGAATTGCTTTCCACAACCACATAGAACAAGTCTAGATTAGATACCAACTCTAAACCTACAGACAACACTATTCCAAATACAATAAATCCAAAAGAATGTCTAAACGAAAGGCCAAAAGTTGCCTATAAAGGAGTGTTGGGGTACTTTTAGGTCAAGGTGGACTTGGGCTTTGAGAACGTCTCATGTCTCCCTTGGTGTGGATTCGTACCAAGTCCTGGAATATCTCAAAAGAGTTAGCTTGTCTTAGGAAATACCCCGGTAACATTAACGGCTCGAAGATAACGTGATTGATTAAGATAATGACTTGCTCAAGTGAAGCGTGATGTGGAAGTTAGAAGATTATCAGTTTAACATGAAGGACAAAGGATTTGCATGGTTGTATGACATTCTTGACTGGATAATCTGGGCTTTCCTAAGGTGATAATAAGGTTTCTAATGGCTGGGATCTTTAATGGAAGGCTATGGAAATTAATAAGATTGCATGGATGATGATGATTGAGGCTTGGATAATGTTTCTGGGCTAGATAGAACTATATGGGCTTATTTCCTGGATGGTTATCTCCTCTGCGTTTTCCCTATCTCTCTGTGTTACTTCTTAATCTTTTATCCATCTTTTATCCATTGCCTTTAATGGTTTCCCCCTGTCCTTATGTAAATGAAGGGTTTTTCTCTAGGCTTCAAGGGAATCTCCCTTTGTGGCTTGGTATTTCCTTCATTTCTCCCTAGCCCTCTTATTATTCCCTTTTTGGTGTAAGGTAGCTGCACTTTTGAGACCTGCAGTATGCTTCTTCTCAAGGTGCGACTTTCCTAGGGTGGCCTTCCTCAAGCGCTACTTCTGGTAACATGCCTCATGGATTTCACACGTTGGTTGTCTGTGCAAGCTGGGAAAGGAAAGTCAGCATTAAATGCCTGACTTGATGTGCTTAGCATGCATTTAATGCATGAATCTAGTTTAGTCCTAACTAAGAAGGTTGTCTTGCTAAGGAAATGGGTAAACTAGGTTAGTTCTCTCTCAATGTTACCTGCGTGAAATGCAAAGGGTATAGGTTTGAATCATTGGACCCCTAAACAACCTAAAGTTTTCCATAGCCTCGATTCCATGTAAGCCCAGTAACCTTCCGTAACTATCCACACCACAATCTACTTGACAAGCCTCGAATATATGACTTGGGCTTTACATGAATAATGACTAGCATGAGGAAGCATGGTGTGATGAATAAGTATGAGCATGTTGTGATGAATAAGCATGAGCATGGCGGGAGTATCCGTCCTAATCACTATGGCATGACATGTATATAAATATATTTCTCATCGATCTCGTGCCTTGGCATGTGTTTGGGCTTGAATGTAGGCTTTGCATGACAATTGGGCCTTAAGACTTGGTTGGATTGGTGTGTGACATTTTTAGGCCCCAACATTAGCCCCTTGATTATTTGGGCTATGAGAATTCTTGAGTGGGTTGAATAATCAACCCTAGGCCTGAGGGATTCCTTTTTTGAATGTGGGCCTCTTAATGAGACTCTTCCTCTTGTCGCGTGGCAACTAATAACTCCCTGCCATTGTACTCCTTTACTTCCCGTGCACGTCCAATAATATGGAGAAACTCTGGGTATTCCCTACCTTCACTTGGTAACCATTACAAACTGCTCTTCTCACTAGGACAAGTATTTAATTTATCCTTGCTTTTTCTCTCATCATTTAATTCACATTCCTTTTTCAAATCTTTCATAACTGATTTTCTCTCCAAATTCATCTCTGCTTTCTACGCTAGGTTATGTCATCCCGTCCGTGATTCTCCTGCTCGTGACAAGGTCTTCCTCAAGTAAGGAAGTATTTCTCTTGACACTTTTGAATTTTTCTTCTTCTTTTTGCTTTCTTTGTTTGCCATGATGACGAAATTTGGCATACATTTCTTCTTTTTTATTATGCATTCCAAAGATTTTGGGGTTTTAGCATGGGCGCACAAGGGGTGTAGTTTGTTCCTTCAGGAAATCGAACTCAA